GGTAGGAGGCGAGTGAGGGAAGAAGGCAGCGTGTACAGAGCAGACACGGAAGAGGCAGCGTCGGTGCATTTATGGGCGACCTTATAGGCGGGCAGTATCCGCAGCAGCAGCAGAAGCAGCAGAAGCAGCTCCGTGTATGGTTGCTGTGCGAAAGCGGTAATGGACCAGATGCAACTGATACATGAGCACAGCCAAAAAAAGATGGCAAAAGCACGAGGCAATCAATGATGGCCCAAAAGGCGGCATGTCCATGATCCAGTTCATCGGCGGCTATTCAATGATCCATGGTGCGACACATACGCTGGAGGCAGCAGCTGATGCTGGCAATGGGGAGTGGCGAGTGTGTCCAGCTGGATGGTTCATGTCCATGTGCTGCGCCATCAGCTTCTTCTATGGCGCAATCAGCAATATTGTCTTCACTTTTACCGCAATAGCAAATGGTCAACCGCATAATAACATGATTATATGCTTGTTATTAGCTTTCTTTCTCTTTCATCACCAGCACTGCGCCTATTGCTCTTGCAGATGAACTAACTGGTGCCTGGCATCGAGTAGGCATGTTATTTAGTGCCTTTCATGCAGTGGCTATGGACATAATGCATTTATTTCCAAAAAAGGAAGGTAATAAAAATTCAAAATCAGATAGACTAGCGGAGAAATCACAACAAATCATCCAAGCCCCCTTGGCGCAGCGGCAGCGCGTTCCGCTCGTAACGGAAAGGTCGGTGGTTCAAATCCGCCAGGAGGCATTCTTTTTGCATTTTTTTGATCCTACTGCTCACGTGAGGCTCATGGACAACGCATGACCATACGCTGTCCTGTGACGAGCACAGCATCATCCTCGTCATCGTCAGCATGATGCTCTAGGATGATGATGAGGATGGAAGGGCGTCTACTACTGTTGTTGCCGTGTTGCATGTATCCTTCTTCCTATTGCCAACAAGCTCTTTCATTTTCTTTTCCTTCCTTCGCTCTGTCTCCGCCTCTTTATTGTCCGCACGCTTCTCACTGTCATCACTGCCGTCACCACTTCCTGTACAGCTGCTGAGCATTCGTGGCTTGTTGTCCGCGCCATGGGCCGCCAGGACATTGTTCAGGTCCGTCTTGCGGATGGCACGCTGCTTGCCACCTTCCTCGACGAGGATGGTACGGTGGCCGACTTGATACGCGAGCTGGTTACGGAGAATCTCGACGGCTACGACGCCGACGCCACCAGCGGGAGGCCGGCCGAGTCGGCGTCGCCGGACCAGTGGCGCCTGCTATGCATCCTGCCCAAAGTGAGACAGCCAGGTAAGCCATGCATACTGGACGCGCGTCTTATGGCCGCTAGCTAAGCATGACCATGCCGCCGCTAGAGAAGTATTCGCTGCCCGAGTTGCGCGCCATGGACCACGGTAAGTCGCCGCTCCGTGGCGGCGTTCCAAGCGGACACGGATGCACGGATGCTTACGTATGCATACTGGCTAGCGACGTTTCTCGACGAGAGCATACGCGTGTTCGAGGAGCTCGAGTCGATTCTCTCGGCGCAGCATGACGACGATGTCGACACTGAGGCGCTGAGGGATGCCGACTTTACGCCCTTTGTCATGATCAACGTCAACCACTGCGTGCGGCTCATGTTCCGCGGCATCAACGAGCTGCCCGACCAGTACGAGCGCGACTACTACGTGACACCGCAGATGAACGTGCGCAACTTGATCATGCACACAATGCAGACATACGGCCTGGTCTCGCTCGACTCGGCCAATCCGACGGGCATCGACTATGTGCTCTCGCTGGCCTACAGCGACATGGACGGCACCGAGCGTAGGTGGCAGCATCAGCAGGCATCAGCAGCATCGGAATGGCTAATCATCGCCTATGCGCACTAGATACGCGGCTGCTCAATGAGGAGGAGCTGGTGCTGCAGGTGCATCGCGAGACTGTGGGCAGGCATCGGTTTGTATTCCACCTGCCTGCTACGTGGCTGTCGCGCATGGGCTCCCTGACCTCGCATCTGGCCGATCGATTTGCGCGGCCCACCTCGCTCGTGATGTCGGGCGGCCATGGCTCGAATGGGCGAACGCGGCCCTTGTCCATGTACAACTTCTTCGGCTTCTCGTCGTCGTCAGCGGCGGCGGCGGAGGCGGGCCACGAGGATGGTGTACACAGACGCAGCGATGACGGGGCGGCAACGCCGGCCGACCCAAAGAACAGGTTCAGCGTCGATCCGGAGAAGCTGGCCCACAAGCGCGCCTCGATCATGTCGCCCATTCCGCTGGCGAGCAACATATCGAGCTGGCTGGCGGGCGATGCGGGCCGCGGCCGACCAAAGAGCGGCGCCGACTGGGCCAAGCCAACACGCGGCTCGATGCTGCTGGCGAGCGATCCCGTCGACGACGAGGTGGCATCACTTGAGGGCGAGGCCCTACAAGCAACATTCACCGCATTGCTGGTAACATACAAATGCATGCGCGCTATAGATTGCAATAGCTGATGGACATTGCCGCACTAGGATGATCTGAACATGCGCGACGAAGCAGTGCGGCAAAGCATGCTAATGATGGATGATGAGCGGAAGCGCACGCTAATCCGCCAGAACAACCAAGTGAGCGCCATGCAGCGCGCCAATACGTCGTCCCACCACGCGGCGGATGTTGCCGGTGCAGAGGCGACAGCAACAGATGCATCATCATCGACGACCACATTGTCCTCGGCTGTGAGCGCCCTCACCGGCTACCATCCGTTCAACTCGCTCAAGGAGAGCCACGGCGTGTCTGCCGGCAAACCACAGACACAGGGCAGTGCCCATGGCTCATCCCACAACAATCGATCGACCATGTACGCAGCGGCCACCACCACCACCACCACCACCACCACCGACAACGAGGAGGACGAGATGGTCGACAGCCTGGGCGGCCTGGAGACGGCGAGTGCCGATGGTCGATTTAGCGGACGACACAGCAGGAACCGCCCGGGATCACTTGGCAGCGGTGGCAGCGGTGGCGGAGGAGGAGGCGTGACGAGCCTGCTAAGTGCGTGGCTTGGCTACACGACGGATAAGCACGACGAGGAGGAGACGACGCCCGTGGCCTACGTGGAGCGACTGCAGAACAAGTAAGCAGCCGTGCTATGGCCATGACCCACGTGTACTACTAATGATGGTGATGGTGATGATGGCAGGCAAATATCGTCGCGCACGCGTGTAAAGCATCTTCTATCGCTGCGTGTCACCCTGTCCACCGCCAAGCTGGGCTGGATACGCGAGTTCCTGGATGCCGGCGGCTTGATGGCACTCGATTCGGTGCTGGGGCAGGTGGCGGCCACGAAGCGCAAGTAAGTCGGGCCATTCGAGGCCGATGCTCCTCGTGTGTAGATAGATCTAATCGCTATGTACTAGTGCCCATGCCACGGCGGAAGGCACCGATCTCGACACCGATGCCCAGCTCGAGTGCGTGCGATGCCTACGCGTGCTGCTCAACACCGAGCCGGGCTTCGAGCAGGTGCTCGGGTCGCGCACGCTGGTGGCCCACATAGCGTACGGCACCTACACGGCGAGCAATAAGCTGCGCACGCTCGTGGCCGAGGTGCTCGCGGCACTATGCGTCCTCTCCTCCGAAGGGCATCAGCTGGTGCTGGCGGCCTTCTCCGACTTTTGTGTGGCGCACGAGGAGCAGTTTCGCTTCGAGTATCTCGTGCAATCGCTCGGCGACGAGACGGACGAGGGATTCGAGTATAGGACGGCCTGTCTCACCCTGATCAACGCCATTATTGGCACGCCCGAGCTGCTGGAGGAACGTGTGGCACTACGCGGCGAATTCGTACGGCGTGGCATCGAGGACATGCTCAAGGTGAGTGGTTGCATTGCATAGTGGTGGGCAGGCAGTGCACATTTGCTATAGCACAGCATGCATAGACACTGCGTACGGCCCTGCCACCTGATCTGCTCAAGAAGCAGCTGGACGTGTACGACGAGGATGCACTCGAGGATGCACGGGAGCAGCAGCAGGAGAAGCAGCGCGAATCACTCACCATAACCGATGAGTAAGCATGCAGCACATTGTGATGATGGCTGGCTGGTCCAGTGTTTATTGATGCATGTGCATGTGCATGTGTAGCGATCCAGTATTTGCCTTATCGACGGTATTCCACGGTCTCGACAAGGAGCATCCGCTACGCCAGTCGATGGCGGCCACCCTTCGCTATCTTTCAGCCATGGCCATGTCGCGCACCGAATCGCATGTCGATGTCGCGGTGTTGATAGAAAAGTTCACGGAGCAAATATCCAAGGCGCAGCATCTCGATGAAGGTAATGGTGGTATAGATATGCTGTTGTCGTTGTTGCTAGCATAGCATCTTATACTATGGTATTCCCCCACCTCTAGAATGGCCCGCCTGTATCCGACAGTTCCGCACCACCGTGCAGCACGTCCTGGGCAAATCGGCCGCGGCAGATAAGCTGTTCGAGGATGCCGATCGTATTGCTAGCCTCGAGGATCAGGTGACCAGTCTATCCGAGCAGGTGAAGAAGGCCCGGGAGGAGGTAAGCACGAGTGCATCAACATGCATGGGCGGATAGATCATTGATGGATGCGCGGCTCATTAGCGCAATCGGTTTGAGCGTCTATACGACATTAAGGAAGCGGAGCTCACCTCGCTGAAGATGACCTTTACGAATACACTGCCGCGACGATCCAGCGTAAGTGAAGCAGGCGATGCAGCATCCAACTGCGCTGACGATGTGCCGATGTGGATGGTAGCCCGATGGCGAGGAGAAGCCCGAGCGGCTGACGATTGGACGCCCGAGCGAGCGGGAGAACCTGGCCGGTGTGGTGCAGCGGCTTATCCAGCGAGAGAAGCAGATCGAGCAGCTTACGGCGCTCATCGACAGCTTATCCAAGAAGCACAACGAGCGCATTGATACATCGGAATACTTGGTAGGTGACGGGGTGGCGGCATCGATGGCAGCATTGCACTGACGCATGCCACCACCATCACAATCCGCCGTGCACAGCTCGATGACGATGCGCGAGCCAAGAGGAACGACAAGACGGCCAAGGATTTCGATAACAAGTGGACGGCGATCATGGAGGAGATGGAGAACTACAAGGCAAAGGTATGGCATGCACCGGGATCTGCCTACGAAGCAGCATAGCCAATGGATATGCATGTACAATAGAATGCCCAGCTGGTGGAGGAGGC